TAGTGGAGGCAGGTACCATGCATAGCTTTGAGAAGAGGTATGATAAAGCTTATGGATCTGGGAGAGTCGACCTAGTGGCGACCAGTGAAGAAGCGGGGCCAGGAGCTACGAGTCAACCCCTCCAACCACAATTAAGTGAGTATAATTAGGTGAGTACACACACACAAGGGTCCCAATAGTAATGTCTGACTTTTTGGGTCACCCTAGGTAAATTACATATATGTTACTATATATATGATAATTTGTGTAACTATTTATGTGTACCTGTACCTAAATAAACTTACACAATGTAGAAGATATAGCTTCTCCCTCTCCATCCACTACTCACGTTCGTTTCCCACCCAAGCAACTCTCATAGCAAAACATCCCTTGTTCAAGTTTCTTCCCCTGTGCCACATTTATCTACCCCATACAATCTCTGTCTATCCACATGCACCACCCACCATCACTTCCCCTTACACCCTCTCTACAACAAATCTCCACCTACACCCACCATCACCTTGTACACCCTCTCCCGTACCAGGTGCACTCAGAACAAGGTGAGAGAAAGGGTGATCAAAGAGTGGTATGTGAACGCAGAAAGAATTTCAAAGTAGCGACGTGAAGGAACGGACAAGGAGGACAAGGCCTGTCAACACATCACTGACGAAGGCAATACTGACAATTAAGATTCAGTATTCCCTAGAGCAGGGGTCCAGAACCTGCGGCTCGAGGGCCGCATGTGGCCCTTCCAGGAAATGGATGCGGCCCTCACATGAAATTATGAATTCTCTTTCATGTAGGTTGCACTCTGCAAAGTGTAACAACAAAACAGTGCGGCCATAATCACATATTTGACCGTAAATTGTTGTCCACTGATACAGGAGGATTGAGGAGCACTTCCCTAGAGAACACCAGTAATAAGAAAAGAAGAAATTAAGGATGAATTAAATAAGTACACCATATTCATCCTGTGGGAGGTAGTCAAAATATTACAGAGGTACATAATGGGTCCAAGGACCGGACAGCAAATTTTTTTTATATGCAGAAGAATCAATGGGGATTCTAACAGTGATCCATTCTTGTTTATACTCTGACAGTCGTTCATTGCCTATTATCTCGGGTTTACGGGAAGAAATGTTATTTTAATCAGAAGTCAACTGTTTTATGGAGTAGAGAAAACTGAATAATAGCAAATTCAGCAAATATATATTAGGATTCAAATATCGTAGTGATGACAATGAAAAAACTTCTTCAAGACTACGGTGCTCTTCACTAACTCCAAGACTGAGGGACTGATTACCTCGTCTTTTGCATGTAGTTCTACAGTCTTCCCACTGTGTCTTTGAATTTGCATTGATAAGCCATTAGATGGTGAAACGTCTACAAATAAAGACATCCAGATGTTGCACATGTGTCTAATTCTTCATCAATGAAAAAGACACAGTGAAAAAAGTTTTTATTCTGAGCCATAACATATTATATAAGACGACTACAAGCCCAGGAGGGGGTTCCGTGGGTCGACGCCCCCGTTGTTCGGTCTATGACCAGGCTTCGTGTGGGTATCTTTATTACCGAAAAGTTTCGGCAATAAAGATACCCAGGTGTTGCACATGTGTCTTATCAACTTAATCACCAGTATTGTATACCGTCACTAATGTGATACATTACGAATATGACTGGTAGTGTGGGACTGAGACTCACACTGCAAGTAACAGGAGAAATACACATCAAAACCGTAATTCTAAATCGTGTTGATGACTGATAGATTAGATTAGATTTTGCTGCCGAAGCGGCCAGTTTATTGTGCATCTCATATCCATTCAGTAGAGGGTAGCGCAAGAGCATGTGGATACACAAAAGACCTAGGAACTAGGTCAACAATTGTCTTGTTCGTTACAAGCAAATTTTAAGATATTTTGTTTGTATGTGGGGTAAATTACTTTTATTAATGAGATACCTAATGTCTATCTTTATATTCCTCATTAAGTGAACAATTAAGCACATTGTCTTAAGAAAGTGACCATAAGCTGGCCACATACTTTGTATTGTGTCTGCCAAACTGCCACAAGTACTTGTAACCAAGCCTAAGCCTGGCTACTACAACATCAATCACATTACAAGTTACTCCGTAAATATACTTATCTACGTTCGTATTATCAGGCTTCTAAGGCATTCCTATAGCATTCAGATCAATTATTTACCGTTAAAGTCGATAAATTAACCAAAGAAATTACCATGAAGGAAAATGTAGAACATGGCTTGAATGTATCTGTGTCAGGCATTAGAAATAATCAGGAAGAAGTATTGTTGATGATGATATTATATTCTTCAGGGAAAAGTCACCAGGCACAAGTTTTTGTCATAAGATGACTTGTCCAGTGGTGCGAGTCCAAAGGTGGAGGAACGGCAAGACTGTGTCTTGACCATGCATGAAAGTAAGGGTAGCCGACAGTTCTGGGACTGGCTAGGGAAGCAGCTTCCACTGTCTGACCCTTACTGTATCCATTATTCTGAATGAGAATTTAATCACAAGGAGAACTGGGAGCTGCGCGTGGAGTCAGCCATGGAGAGAGAGAGAGAGGTGGAGTCGGGACATCAGGTGACCCGTGTGCACCACTCACAGCTAAAAGAGGACCCAGCTTCTTGATTTCCGAGATGAGTTTGACGTATGGGAAAGCCTACTTACACCTGTTGTTCTTGTCTCCCTAACAGCAAATGGTTACTAGGGTGTTAGCACATTGTAGTAGGTTCAGTACTGGGGAGTAGCAGTATACCGTACCTTAGATAGTGCTGGATTTTAAAATGAGTTGAGGCGGGGTAGTGAACTGTGTAGAAGTCAGTGTAATTATCATATCAAGTATTGTAGCCTCATATTGTTGATACATCTAGTCTCTTTAAATAAATTTAAAAAATGAGGAAACAATTGCTATTGTTTCACTTATTAAGTTAACTACTGGATCACACCAATCACGAAGCAACAATGACTCTCTTGATCAGATAAATTGTGGATATATATATATATATATATATATATATATATATATATATATATATATATATATATATATATATATATATATATATATATTATCACACTGGCCGATTCCCACCAAGGCAGGGTGGCCCGAAAAAGAAAAACTTTCACCATCATTCACTCCATCACTGTCTTGCCAGAAGGGTGCTTTACACTACAGTTTTTAAACTGCAACATTAACACCCCTCCTTCAGAGTGCAGGCACTGTACTTCCCATCTCAGGACTCAAGTCCGTCTGCCGGTTTCCCTGAACCCCTTCATAAATGTTACTTTGCTCACACTCCAACAGCGCGTCAAGTATTAAAAACCATTTGTCTCCATTCACTCCTATCAAACACGATATATATATATATATATATATATATATATATATATATATATATATATATATATATATATATATATATACATCAAGACAGTGATGGACTGAATGATGGTGAAAGTTTTTCTTTTTCGGGCCACCCTGCCTTGGTAGGAATCGGCCAGTGTGATAATAATAAATATATATATATATATATATATATATATATATATATATATATATATATATATATATATATATTTTATATATATATATATATATATATATATATATATATATTATATATATTATTATTATATATATATTGCGTGTGTCTGTGTAATATATATGTACATGTATGAATCATTATTGCTTTCCGTTAACGTGAATAGCTGTTGTTCTTTCGTTCATGAGTCATTATAGACAGTGATGTGCCAGGTAAGAAAGCTCTGTTGTGTACAGGTGATACTCACTCTATCAAGCCAAAGATCAATCAACAGAAGCCTCACTGGAGGTCTAATTTACTACCTTCTTTCCTGTTTAGCATTCTGAGTCCCGTGGCGTATTCTGCCTGTGTCACTGCGACGGAAACTGTGTAATGGTACAAAGATATTTTTGACAAAGCAGTGCCTTAATTTGCACACTTTCAGAGGATATGAAAGTTAGTTTACGTCAACGAGCCTGACTCTTTAATCATTACTGACACCACCTAGACATGAGTTCAGATCCCACCCGTGTTATTACGATTTCGTGAGTTACCTAGATGATGGTCTGTAAGAGAGTATTTTGATTCTGAGAGCTGCGTCAGGTGGGTAAAGAGGCATAGAAGAGGCGAAGGGTGTCATCAAGGTAGGAAGCCTGGTGTCGTGGGAGAGAGCGATAAAGGAGTCAATTACTGGAGGGAAAGTTAGCCTGAACACTGTACTGAGAGATCATCAGAACACCGGACATCCTGCCTCCAATCACCGCTAACAATCGTACCTCCAATCATCACGGAGAGAGGAGTGTAAATAACACACTCGCAACGCCTCATCCATCAACCATTGTACACTCTCTTCTCTGCCCTGATTTAATATAATTGTCCAGTGAAAGACTATTTTGAAGAAGGAAACTTTTGTTGACAAGACTTTTCCACGAAGACTTGAAAAAGCTTAGTGTCCAAGAGAAATGTTATCCCAGTAAAGATGTTCATCCTGCCACAGTTCTTTATATATATATATATATATATATATATAATATATATATATATATATATATATATAGAGAAAGAGAGAGAGAGAGAGAGAGAGAGAGAGGGAGTATGAACAATTATTTTATCTCAGCCGACGTAAAAGATTCCAACCCATTTTTTTTTTAAATATAACTTTAAAATCAATGATCCAGCTGCCCAGGAAAATTATGTGAGAACTAGGTTTTTTTTTTCCCAGAGGAAGTGAAATGTGTTCTTACCCGGGAGTGAACTGTGTTCATTCCTACGGGAGTGAACTGTGTTCATTCCTACGGGAGTGAACTGTGTTCATTCCTACGGGGTGAACTGTGTTCATTCCTACGGGGTGAACTGTGTTCATTCCCAAGAGGGGCTGGGGGAATTGAGGTGTTTTTTAATGTACAGGAATTGTGGGTGGGATCTGGTACATCACTAACCACAATATCTCACACCTGAATTATGCTCTTGGCTTTCAGAAGAGCTTCCATGCCTTGTCCTTAAACAGGTGCGTCGGGGCACAGCTGTGGGCACACCTCTGGTCACGTGTGCATACGCATTGGGGCAGGTGTAGCCACACCCCTGAGAAGGTGTGTCAAGCAGCAGGTGTAAACACACAGGTATGGCATGTGATTGAGTGTTTCTTATTCTGACGCAGCCTTACGTGTGTGTGTGTGTGTGTGTGTGTGTGTGTGTGTGTTTGTGTGTGTGTGTGTGTGTTGTGTGTGTGTGTGTGTGTGTGTGTGTGTGTGTGTGTGTGTGTGTGTGTGTGTGTGTATGAGTAAATCACACAGTACCATACTTTAGGAACATAAGTCTTCACCTATGCTTAGTTAGGATCAATATAGGGATCTGCTAACTTAATGACCACACCGACACTACAACATAACCCAATACTATTTCCTCTGCTTCCAGCCTCCTCGTTGCTGCAACGTTCAAAAGTTATGTTCAACACCACCATAACAGTGTTGGTATCACTATATTGTTTATATTTTCCTTTCTGCCTCGCTGCACTACTCACCTTTTTCCCCTCGTCAGTTCTATGGTTCACTTCATCTTTCATAGACACATCTGCCGACAGGTCCTTTACAAATATCTGAAAACATTCACTTCCTCCATACTCCTCCTTCCAATCTGATATCAAATTTTTCATTATCTAATTTTTTGTTACTCTCATTATCTTTCTTCTATGTTCGCTTTTTGTTTCCTTCTTTTAACCACCTTCCCAAATTCCTCCACCAACCATTGCAACATATCTTCAGAATTTCCTAAAAGAACTGTGTCATCAGCAAAAACCAACTGTGACAACTCCCACTTTGTATTAGATTCTTTATCTTTTAATTAATCCGACACTTCTCCCCAACATCCTGGCCTTCACTTTTTTTTATACAACGCCGTCTATGAATATATTAAACAATCATGGTGACAAGGATACATCTGGATATGAATTATTGTATCGTAGTAGGTGTGAGGATCAGGGCTGCTGCCTGACGTCAACTGTGGTCCTGGACCACTAGTTGTCGTGCTGCTGTTGTTGCCTGACGTCAACTATGGTCCTGGACTACTGGTTGTCGTGTTGTTGCTGCTGCCTGACATTAACTGTGGTCCTGGACCACTAGTTGCCGTGCTGCTGTTGTTGCCTGACGTCAACTATGGTCCTGGACTACTGGTTGTCGTGTTGTTACTGCTGCCTGACATTAACTGTGATCCTGTACCACTAGTTGCCGTGCTGCTGTTGTTGCCTGACGTCAACTATGGTCCTGGACTACTGGTTGTCGTGTTGTTACTGCTGGCTGACATTAACTGTGGTCCTGTACCACTAGTTGCCGTGCTGCTGTTGTTGCCTGACGTCAACTATGGTCCTGGACTACTGGTTGTCGTGTTGTTACTGCTGGCTGACATTAACTGTGGTCCTGGACCACTAGTTGCCGTGCTGCTGTTGTTGCCTGACGTCAACTATGGTCCTGGACTACTGGTTGTCGTGTTGTTACTGCTGGCTGACATTAACTGTGGTCCTGGACCACTAGTTGCCGTGCTGCTGTTGTTGCCTGACGTCATCTCTAGTCCTACACTACAGGTTGTCCTTGAATACATAAATAATAAATTAGTTGTGACGTTGTAAAGGCGTCACACAGCACTCTGGGAGTGGCAGGTAGTCACGCTTGATCCTAAGGAGAAGGGCGGAGCTCCAATTTCTCGGATCAAGATGTGTACACCAGCAGCGTACTGCACAGCCAGAGTCGATCAAGTGGACCCAACTACCCTGTCGAACCATGTTAATTCCTGACGCGGGTCTTTGTTAAATGACGACCCGCAGCTGGAGCTTTTGGTCATCTGACCGAGCCCTTCCGCTGGCTTACCCCTCCACCCTCCTTAAAAAATATGGCTATAATTATGACCATTAGATGGTCAGCACCATGCTCAATGTGTCTGCCAGAAATGTTCATGTATACCCGTGGCTTTCTTTCTGCTTAACAGTTAGGTTAGGTAAGGTTCGTCAGGAAACAGGACAAATGTTTCCTGACGCAGGTCTTAGTCAGATGATGACCCGCCTTTGGAGCTTTTGGTCATCTGACCGAGGCCTTCCGCTGCCTTACCGGTCCACCCCTTTAAAAATTATGGTCATTTATAACCATTGTTATTTGAATGCTTAACAGTATTTCATGACATGTAAGCTACACATAGTATACTACGCAAAGAAATAAAATTTTGATTTTGATTTTGAACTGATGGTAATTAAGTCTCTGTACAGTGACGGGTGAATTGACCAGTCTTCGTATTGTGTTGCCTTTTGTGCCATGCTATTGTATTTTGTGCCACGTTGTTGTATTTTGTGCCATACTGTTGTATTTTGTGCCACGCTGTTGTATTTTGTGCCATACTGTTGTATTTTGAGCCACGTTGTTGTCTTTTGTGCCATGCTATTGTATTTTGTGCCATACTGTTGTATTTTGTGCCACACTGTTGTCTTTTGTACCACACTGTTGTATTTTGTACCACACTGTTGTATTTCGTGCCACGCTGTTGTATTTTGTACCACATTGTTGTCTTTTGTGCCAAACTGTTGTATTTTATGCCACGCTGTTGTATTTTGTACCACATTATTGTATTTTGTGCCACGCTGTTGTATTTTGTACCACATTGTTGTATTTTGTGCCACGCTGTTGTATTTTGTGCCATACTGTTGTATTTTGTGCCACGCTGTTGTATTTTGTGCCATACTGTTGTATTTTGAGCCACGTTGTTGTCTTTTGTGCCATGCTATTGTATTTTGTGCCATACTGTTGTATTTTGTGCCACACTGTTGTCTTTTGTACCACACTGTTGTATTTTGTACCACACTGTTGTATTTTGTGCCACGCTGTTGTATTTTGTACCACATTGTTGTCTTTTGTGCCACACTGTTGTATTTTGTGCCACGCTGTTGTATTTTGTACCACATTGTTGTATTTTGTGCCACGCTGTTGTATTTTGTACCACATTGTTGTATTTTGTGCCACGCTGTTGTATTTTGTGCCACGCTGTTGTATTTTGTACCACATTGTTGCATTTTGTGCCACGCTGTTATATTTTGTGCCAACATGTTGTATTTTGTGCCACACTGTTGTATTTTGTACCACATTGTTGCATTTTGTGCCACGCTGTTATATTTTGTGCCACGCTGTTGTATTTTGTGCCACGCTGTTGTAATTTGTGCCACAGTGTTGTATTTTGTGCCACACTGTTGTATTTTGTACCACACTGTTGTATTTTGCTCCACATTGTTATATTTTGTACCACAGTGTTGTATTTTGTGCCACGCTGTTGTATTTTGTGCCACAGTGTTGTATTTTGTACCACACTGTTGTATTTTGCTCCACATTGTTATATTTTGTACCACACTGTTGTATTTTGTGCCACGCTGTTGCATTTTGTACCACACTGTTGTATTTTGTACCACATTGTTGTATTTTGTACCACACTGTTGCCTGGTTGATCAGGCTCTGATCCACCAGGAGGCCTGGTCACAGACCGGGCCGCGGGGGCGTTGACCCCCGGAACTCTCTCCAAGTAAACTCTCCATGTAAACACTGTTGTATTTTGTACCACACTGTTGTATTTTGTGCCACGCTGTTGTATTTTGTACCACACTGTTGTATTTTGTGCCACGCTGTTGTATTTTGTGCCACGCTGTTGTATTTTGTACCACACTGTTGTATTTTGTGACACGCTGTTGTATTTTGTACCACACTGTTGTATTTTGTGCCACGCTGTTGTATTTTGTACCACACTGTTGTATTTTGTGCCACGCTGTTGTATTTTGTACCACACTGTTGTATTTTGTGCCACGCTGTTGTATTTTGTACCACACTGCTGTATTTTGTACTACACTGTTGTATTTTGTACCACGCTGTTGTATTTTGTACCACACTGTTGTATTTTGTGCCACGCTGTTGTATTTTGTGCCACGCTGTTGTATTTTGTACCACACTGTTGTATTTTGTACCACGCTGTTGTATTTTGTACCACACTGTTGTATTTTGTGCCACGCTGTTGTATTTTGTACCACACTGCTGTATTTTGTACTACACTGTTGTATTTTGTACCACACTGCTGTATTTTGTACCACACTGCTGTATTTCACGCCACACTAAACAAAATAAATTATAGTTCAATAATGCAGATTAACCTTCATTTGTCGTCCCTCAACCTACACTTGGTTAAAAAAAGCGCGGGTTCAAATCCCGCCCGTGGTATGGTTTGTTTGCAATCGTGTCATTACGATTTCGTGAGTACACTTAATTGCTGTTCCAAATTACAAGTAATTTGTTCCATATTTGAAGTATAGTTTCAGTATATTCCTGATAGATGTCGCCAGGTTAGTGGAACAATAAATGTCGTCTGTGCTTATGTATATTGAAAGGAATATACATGCATTTAGAATTTTTTGTAAGTATATATATTTTTCGTAGTTTCTCTCTCTTCTAAAGTTATCTTTGTAAATTCTGTTTTTGGTGTGTGTAGTCACCTAGTTGTGGTTGCAGGGGGTCGAATCACAGCTCCTGTGGGGGGGGGGGGGGGGGGGGGGGAGATAGTCCGTATTCTGAGAGATGATAATTGTCCTGCTGAAGTTTGCCACCTCTGTCTGACACTTCTGAAGTCTCCCACCTCAGGCTGACACTACTGAAAACTCCCACCTCAGACTGACACTACTGAAGTCTCCCACATCAGACTGACACTACTGAAGACTCCCACCTCAGACTGACACTACTGAAGTCTCCCACATCAGACTGACACTACTGAAAACTCCCACCTCAGACTGACACTACTGAAGTCTCCCACCTCAGACTGACACTACTGAAGTCTCCCACCTCAGACTGACACTACTGAAGACTCCCACATCAGACTGACACTACTGAAGACTCCCACCTCAGACTGACACTACTGAAGACTCCCACATCAGACTGACACTACTGAAGTCTCCCACCTCAGGCTGACACTACTGAAGACTCCCACCTCAGGCTGACACATTTCAACAATGTGAAACCCATCCCGTGTGATGGAATATGACAGGAAAACACAACTAGCTTTTGTTCTCTCTAACACACATAATAGGGTAGCAGCACACTGCTGATGTATC